GAACCATACAGGTACCGGTAGCCAGTATCAACTATTAATTGGAACTCTGCACATTTAAGAGATTTTTTAATATAATAAAAACACACACGAGTCTGAAAGTGATCATGGGCAAACAACGTATACATTAGTTACAAAAAATCATAACTCAATATTGGGCGAGACTATTTTTATACCAGCCCTGTTTTATATCAATTGTTTTGCAAACTTTTTTTTAAACCAGTGCCAAAAGAGGGCGGAACGATAAAAATAAAATTTGTTTTCTCATTTTGCAAAATTATTTTGCCAAAACCATCTAGGCGGAGGAGAATATACAAATACAATTTTATTAATGAATTTAAAGAATGTGGTAATGAGATTGAAAAAAGCTTTAAATTTATATTTAAAAAATTAAGGAAGAAAAATATCTTATTTTTGGAGTGTGGAGATTTCAGGGTAGTGGAGGACAGGCCTAGACCTCCCTCGTCCGACACCACGATGAGGTCGTCGGACCAAAAATAATAATTTTCCTATCTAAATAACATTATTTTGATTGCCAATCCACTAATATAGCCTAAAACACACTGGGTCACACTCGAAGCCATTAACCAGCTTCCGTGCGAACCACCAGGGATTTATTCCAGAACCCTGACCAATGCCGTAGTCAGAATTTTCGAACAGTGCTGGACAATATCAGGATGCACCACCCACTATACGCGCGCTTAAATTCATATAATTTGCACCCATTTTCGTAAAAGTTGACAAATTTTTCGCCAAAAATATGAAAAGTCTGGACCTATTTTCTTTAAACTTTACCCACTTTTGGCTAAATATGAGAATATGGACTCATTTCTTAAAAAGTGTACTCATTCATGCATAAAACTGCATATTTGGCCGGACCCATTTTGAAAAAAATGTTTACTCATTCTTTGTGGACGTCCATTAGAAAAATTGTGTGGACTGTCCCAACTCTCCCAATAGCTGGCTACGGAATTGACCCTGACCGAGGCTCTGTCGGCCCATTTGGTTCGGACCCCACGTCGTTTTTTTTTTCCTTTTTTTTGTTTTGTTTTTTTGTTTTTGCTGAAAGTAGGTCTATTTGTATTATCAGCTGAGCTACCATATCCATTCACACCATACCCCGGGTATTGCCTGGCAAAACGTTGGTTTACGTAAAACCGGGCGTCAGGTGAGGGGAAATGGTAACCAGGGGGTTTATCCGTGTGCCTGAGTGACCACTTTTTGTGTTCAAACGCGAAAAAATAATAGAAATATATATTAATGGACAAATGGCGAAGTACGGTAGCTTAAGCGGGAGCATAAGTTACTTAAGACTCCCACCAAAGATGGTTTACGTCATTCGGTCATTCTTCACTATTTCCCCTCCTGTTAGAAAATCGCTGAGCAAAGCTCTGAGAAAATTTGAAACAGCAAGCCAAATCTACCATGGATTGCAATGGTAAACATACGGACAAAACGAAAATCTTCAGAACAACAATTAAATTGTCAAAAAAATGCTGGTGTGATGATGATGATTATGGTGATTATGATTAGGATAATGAGGAAGAGGATGATACTGTTGAGGATGATGAGGATGAACAGATGATAATAATGATGTTGATGCAGGGGTGGCGCCAGCGGGACCGGGGAGCAAGGGCCTCCGTGGGGGAGAGCTGCACCACCCTGTCTCTTATACACATCTTATTTTCTACATATTATTAGATTCCAAAATCGATTAAATAAGCCTTTGAAACCCCTAAATTGTCAATTTTGAGCGACGCCCGATCACGCCCACTTTTTTATTCAGGGACATCGGCCCCACCACACCACCTGTGGCGAATGTAATAATACAGTAATAACATCTAATAATTAGGATGATGACGCTCTGGCGAATAGAAGAAACTGTAGACTAAGCCAATTATTGTTTTGCTGCCCTCTAAGTTTCTGGGCCCACTCACGTCATTATTTTTAATCGCGTCATTTAAACGGAAATGACGTACGCTTACTAATTTATGTATAGCGGATTAATTTGTTGTTATGATATATTGTGATTTCTGTATTAACAATCGTTTGTGAAAAAAATAATTTATAAATTGTCTGTTTAATACATTCTTACATATTTATTTGTAAATAAAGATCAAATTTAACAAATTAATGGTACAATTATTGGAACTATTTTTCTACAACGTGAATGGATATAGAAGTGGATAGTACCTAATTTGCATGAGAAGAAAGGCACAGTAAAAGAAAGGGCTGCTGAAATTGTGTTTATTTTCTGGGGCGAAATAGTGTAGTTTTAAGGCTAAAATGTCTGATGCTACGGGTAAGAAATACGTTTTTTGATCTTCTATTATATGTATTAATTCCTTTATGACTAAATTATTTGTCATATTTGTTTATTGTTTGCCTAATTGCTGTCGTTTACGCGTTTGTTCTCTCAAACTATCTCACAAAAATTCTTGACTTGTCCGATCCGTGATGATGATGCCTGTAAAGCTGGTGGAGTGGAACCTGGAATTTCATCTAGGAGGCCTAGCCTAGATAATTAGTATAACAGGCAATATATAGGCTTTTGTGCTTTCACATTATTGTGGATGTTTTGAAATATTAGCTGTATTAATATTATTAGAATTAAATAGTATATAAAAAGCATTTTGTACGACATTCGTTAACCTTAACTATCCAGCCAGGCTTTTTTTTTGTTGTGATATTCATGGGATTGAACCATGACATGGCAGACATTCGACAGTATATTTTCAGAATTTTGCTGACGGGGTGGGGGAGTCTAGTCTAGACCGGGTCTGCTTTAGAGTATAGTCCACAACACGGATTAGTATTTTATTTAATCTGGCAAAGCAAATGGGGAATTGCCATTAATAAGGGCAAGTATAAAAATTTATTAGATTATCACTCCCGCCCGCGTCAAAAATCCAGGAAATATTGATGCAGGAATAAAAAAAAAATTTATTTTGCCGCATCAATTATTTCAACAGCATAGAATAACAATGCAATTTTGTGACTTCAAATACATTTTCTTTAAAAAAAATTATAAAATTAAACCAGTTTTATACAATATTTAGGCCTACTATTGCAAGCCAGGGTGCAGGCCAAATATAAACAGTCCCTCCCTCATCGATAAAAACAAAAGCGAAATAATTTATTGTACTGATTTGAAATGAAAACGGGAAGTCATAGAAAAGAAAAACAACACAAAAAAGAAAGTGGAAAGTAAACAAAACAGGAAGAGTGAAGGAAAATTGTCAAATATGAATGATTTATGATGATCATAAAATTAGGAGAATCTTGTGTCCCATTAACAGGTAGATTCTTACCATAGTGATTCTTACCATTAGTGATTTAATAAGGCAAAGAGTTTAATACTCGTAGAGGCTGCCTTGAGTTGAGAAAAGCGATTGTCATAATTTGACTTGAAAAGTGTTAGAGATGTACTGTTGACTATGTGTGAAGGAATTGAATTCCATGTATTTATAAATTTCAAGCATAAAAAAAAATTGCACATTTTGTAGTGTTTCTTCTAATTAACAAGTTTTAAGTTACGCCCACAGGTTTCCAACTGTCCTGTTTGAAAAGAGTTAAAATAATTTTGACTAACAATGTCCTCGAGATTATTTATGATATTAAACACTTTAATTTTCTTGCCCAGTGTTTCTTTCCTGGAGGATGTCCATTAAGACAATATGTATGATTGCAAAATAAAAAAAATAAAATGTGTTGTCCTGAGTGGAGCAGTAGCTGTAACAGGGTTTACTTTTTTTCATGACAAAACTGTAGACCCTAAGGTTCGTAATGAGGCTAGGTCTATGTAGAGCACATTGTGTTTATGTTTACTTTGTGAAGAGTTTGCTAATTGCAATCGTGATTAAGTTGGCTATTTGACTAAAACGAACCATTATATTTGCTGCGAAGCAGCCAATTCATATTCTTGACAGCAATTTGACCTCTGAAAGGTCATTGTTTGTCAAAAAACTATCGCCTAAGACAACTGAAAAGCGGAGTTTCCTTCTTTCGTTCTGCCGGGNNNNAATTACTTTAGGCGACGTTTGTAGACTAACCTACTCGTACCAACGTCGGCATGTCGCGACGCTGGAGTACTATTCAGCGTTTTTACTATATTTCTAGGTTTCCTATTTCTACGTTTAATCAGCTCATGTCTCGGCCACAATATTTTGAAGCCAATATTATTTACGGACCCAGTTAAACTTATTTACTAGCCTATTTCAACGTGCTAATTATTACATTTAGGCGACGCTTGTTGTAGACTGGCATAGTGTTTTCGGAAATAAATACCATTTTATACACATGCGCAGATCGATTCGCCAGCAGCGAGTCATCGCCAGCAGCAGCAGCGAGTCGCCAGCAGAGAGATGTCACTGCAGCAAAACACTATTGTACACGGCACCAACACTGTTCTAATATAGACAATGGGTCGTGCTCATATTATTTGTTATATTTTTATTATTCATTATTTTCACTTGACTCGCATAAATAATTTTGTTCGAAGAACATTTTATGCAGTTGTACTTCGCATCACTTCACTTGCAATTTGCAATTTCTAGTTTATTTAATGTTTTTGCAGGCCTAGCAGACTTGGCTCACAGGGAGTACCAAGCTGGTGATTATGAGAATGCAGAGAGGCATTGCATGCATCTGTGGAGGCAGGAACCCGAGAATACAGGTGTTCTATTATTGCTTAGTTCCATTCACTTCCAGTGCCGAAGGCTTGATAGGTAAGGCAAAGCATTAACAAATCTTGTATGTTCTGCTTCAAGTTCTGCAATTACTTGAGCTCATAGAATCTTACGAATGGTGCAACATTGTTTTTTCCAGGTCGGCTCATTTTAGTACATTAGCAATTAAACAGAACCCTATGTTGGCCGAGGCATACTCAAATCTTGGTAACGTGTTCAAGGAACGAGGCCAGCTCCAAGAGGCTCTAGAGAACTATCGGCACGCGGTCAGGCTTAAGCCTGACTTTATTGACGGCTACATCAACTTAGCGGCGGCACTGGTGCAGGCAGGTGACATGGAAGGCGCGGTTCAAGCGTACATGACGGCTCTTCAGTATAACCCAGTGAGTATGAAGGTTGGTCTTTTTCGGGGTTGAGTATGGATTCCCCAATTTATTTTACCACTAATCTCTAGCATGCAAAGCCTTAATGAACCTTCGCTGTACTAACATTAATGCTAACCAAAATTCAGCACCCCTGCTTTGGTTGTTCTCCAACTTTTCAACCCATTATGTTTTGTCTACCAAGGCTGAGCATGTAACTCTTGGTTTGGCAGAGTTAAAAATTGGGGATATTCATATAATTATTTGCTACACCTACTTTTAAATGTTGTAATGATTAATAAGTGCAAGATACACCAATAATTTATGGTGCATCTAATAGAGTGCTTAGGGTAGCAACTTGAAAGTTTATTATGGGAATCCAATAAAGTATGATGCTTCTCAGGGTCCTTGTTATTATTGAGTATAATCTAAAACTGAAAACATTTCTTAGCAAATATATATAAAAAAATATGATTAAAGGAAAGTTGTAGGGAAACCGTGGTGTTAAATTACATGCAAAGATTGTCGTTGTCATACTGTTACTTTTCGCAGGACTTGTACTGTGTACGCAGTGACCTCGGAAACCTGTTGAAGGCCCTTGGCCGACTGGATGAGGCTAAGGTAAGAACAGTGGTATACAGTGTAGTTACTGTACAATAATTTCAATTTAAAAAAAAATTAATAATTCTTTAAAAGTGGACTTAAAATTTAAATGAAGATTATAACATTAGCCCTTAATCAAATAATTTTTAATAAGTAAAATGGCTAATAGTCATAAAATAGGATAATTATGATGACAACAATTAATAATGACAATTTTTTTTTTTGGCTATTTCTAACTAAATGTTTTATGTTAGGTAAATATAAGGTTTAGAATGTAACATAAATCTTGCTATCTGGTTATATACTATAGACCTCAATATAATTTGAAAGGCCAATTAGATTTTCCTGTCATAAAAAGACTTTTTAACTAAATAGTTAACTATAATGTTTATATATTTGATTATTTTGATTTAGGTAAAGGTTTAAGTCTAATTTGAGAATCTGTATTTGCAGATTACTTTATTTTTGCTATTTTTGTAAGATGTTCAGATTTCTTAATACTTTCATCTGTTTTTGGAAATTATTTTCTGGTCACAAGAGTGACAATTTGAACCTGATAACTTTTTATTGTTTATATTGTTATAAACAATATAAACCTTGTTTCATTGACAAGTACGTCAAATACAGTGTGTTTTGATGTCAAAATTTTAGTAACTGTTCGCTGAAGACATGTTAATTCTTTGCATTCTGTGCCTATGTTCCTAACGCAAACAGGGGCGGCAGCCGCGCATCCTCTGCTTTCTGTGTGATTGTGAAAGAATTAAAGCGCTTCTTTTTCAGACATTTGCGCATTTTGTTTGGTGCATGCTTACAACTAGTGCGCCAAAAAGGACACAGCTAAAACTGCATTTTTTGCGTTAAGTGGGTATTTACCCATTGATTATCTTTGAGTATGGCAAGGAATAGTCGTCTTCAAGAAACACTTCAAGAGTTGCCGGAGCCATAGTCAAAGATAACAGCTTGCAGCTTGCGTAGTTGAATGGCGGAGGCTTAGCGGATTTTAAGAATTTTTCTTTCATTACAGCTTTTTTTCCAGAAGTTGTCTTTATATCAGCAAAGCTACAGAATGCTGCTGTGACATAAAACCTTTCTATGCAAAACGTAGCCCATTCCGCAAATTTGCTCTTTTTTGGTCATTCATAATATAATTGTTTTAAATAGTTCAGTAATCAATTATTTAATCCATATTTTTATTGATTTTGTTTTGTAAAGTGAAGTTTTGTCTCAGAGCCGCATTCTATTTCCCTTATCCCAGCGCGTTGCAGTGAGTAAAGTCACGAAATGTGTTAGAAATAACATGAGTAACTGGAGCAAACAAACCAAAAACCATATTATGTATTCACAAACAACAAGCTTACTTCCACTTGTTAACTGGTGTACTCTCTTTTTCTATGTTTGACAGATTTTACTAATGATATTTTTGATTTTTATTTTCTCTTGTTCTGACCTGACATTTCTCAAAGGGTCCACAACTGAGGAGTTACAAGCGATGCAGATACTTTGTGCCGCAGGTCACTTGGATTGATGCTGGCCATACCATCAACTGAACTGTGGTCGGTGGGTTATTGAGCTGCTTGACGAAGCCTATTCCATGCTTAATGACGCATCAGTCAGTCATGCATTAAGCAAACATTGCGCTAGAAAACTCTTTTAATATGCCAGAATTTGGCCAACAATTTAGGCAATGAGATCGTAAGTGAGTGATGATGTAAATGAAGTAACGGCATTCCAAAACGTAGATTCTTGCAAACCGTGCAAGGGAACGTAGATGGGAATTATTCTGGAAAGAGCTGCGATTTTACGTCGGCGGGATGCTGTCGCTGTTCGGCTGCCGCCGCTTTTGCTGCCAGAGGAGTGGTTGCTGCAGCGCCGCGCCGTGCATTGCCGAGCATTCTGGGGCGCGGACATTATGTGTACTCCGTTGCTTGCATGGACAACTGGTTGATATCAAGATACATCACTACATGTAAACATGCAAGTCTCTTAATGAATATATCTTTGTTGTTTAGTATGATTTAGACAGCATGACTTTAGAAGTCATCAACATTATCAAGATTATTGCCCTATTTTTTATTGACTCGAAGCATGTCTTTGTATTGGTGTCGTCTGCCCTTCATGATATCAACTCAGGCTGCGATCCCAGCTAATGTCTCTGTCGTCTGCTAATTGCTCTGCGTTGAGATTGCACTATCAATAACTTGATTACCTCTCGAAAAAGCGTGGTAATCCAAGGCCATCTAAATTTTTTAAAACTACAATAAACTCGTTAATTTTCAATTTAATATATCTTGGCAGGTAGTGCATTCTTTCTTTTCATAATAATTCCTGAAATTTTTTTTAGGGTTTTTTTTTAGTGTAAGTTATTTAGTACCTCGTTATTATTTCTTCTAATGCTTGGTTTTTCTTATCCTTTCTCTCCTCTTTGCCCATCCTATTCCTTTTTCCCGTACCTGTAACTATGCAGGCATGTTACCTGAAAGCAATAGAATCGCAACCCAACTTCGCAGTGGCTTGGAGTAATCTTGGTTGTGTCTTCAACAGTCAGGGAGAAATATGGCTGGCAATACATCATTTTGAAAAGGTATGTTTCGGTAACCATTTGCAAGGGCCTAGCCAGTATGTAAATATGTGCGCTTAATGTGTATCAGCAAGTTTAATTAGATAGCTCCTAGTATCAGTATTTTTTCAAATTTTGATTATGGATTACTTATTAAATATACAAAATAAGCAATTCAAATACAGTTCACCCCCTAATTCAAGACACCTCTAATTCTAGACCACTTTTTTAAAGAACCAAAAACAGTCTTGTATAATAAAATAAATCGCCTATTTCCGAATAAAAACGATAATCCTATGATTTAGATAAGAACAAGACCATGTAATTTCGTCCTGAAAACAGCGCTCTGAACTGAATATGAAATAGGAATTCGTGCTCTATGGTCTGAATTCGAAAAAAAACAATTTCATTAACCAAATCGCTGTCAGAGTTGCACTCTGAACTGTGTACGAATAATTAATTCGCGCTCCACGGTCTACTGATTTAAAAAAAACAAATTCCATTGGCCAATTTGATGTCAGAGTTGCACTGCACTCTGAACTGTATAGTGCTCCATGGTCTACTGATTTCATAACACAGTCCTAGTAAAGCACTATTTCGAAAATGGAGTCGATGAGAGCAATATGGATGTAGGCCTAGGCAGTGCTCGAACAACGAGTAGTAGTGCTCAGCTTCCTCCAAAAAAGAAGCTAAAACACATGCAAACAGGCATGTTAATAACAGAAAGTATCCTGTCAGTTTGAAATCAAAACTACTGAAGGTGATGCCTACGATACGCTCGTTGTGATTGTGCGGTGTTGATTTTCTGCCTAGGGCCTAGTCTTGCACTGTGGTATTGCTGATTGTGAGTAAAAACGGTTACATTTTACAATCCGATCACATTGGTACCATGTCTTAGGAATACTCCTCACATTGTCAAAACTCCGCTCAGAAGTTTTTGAGACTCCTCTTGTTTATTTCTGCAATATAATCTTTTCTTTAAATATAATTAAGTGATTTTTGAACAGTTGAATGTGCATTTTGTATGGTTGGTTAGCATAGAGGTGGTAAGAAGTTTGTCTTTATATAATGTTTACGATTTGCTTCCAATTATAGGCTGTGACGTTGGATCCAAACTTCCTGGATGCATACATTAATCTAGGAAATGTGCTGAAAGAAGCGAGGATCTACGACAGAGCAGTTGCAGCTTATCTTAGAGCTCTCCAGCTGAGCCCAAGTCATGCCGTTGTCCATGGCAACCTGGCTTGTGTTTACTATGAACAAGGGTAAGATCAAAGTTTTATTTTTCCGTTAGTCACAAACCTAATTTTGTATAAATGCATTGAGAATGCATTGATGTGTCAACTTATTAATTATGTAAAATGTGGTGGTTTTACATGTCCGTGTTTGGGATGAAACCCCTTCTTTCCATCACTACCATAAATTGAACAAAGTTAAGAGTATTCTGTTTATTTTTCACTTTTTTTCCACTTTATGTAAAAAAAAATCTTCTTTCATATTCGAAGAAAAACTTACAATTATTAGTTGAATTTTTCTAATGTATGATTAAACCATTTTTCAGACTGATTGATCTCGCAATAGACACATACAGACGCGCAATAGAACTCCAACCACATTTCCCAGATGCATATTGTAACCTAGCAAACGCCCTCAAAGAGAAAGGCCAGGTCCAGGATGCGGAGGAATGCTACAACTCGGCGTTGCGTCTGTGTCCTACGCATGCCGACTCCCTCAACAACCTAGCCAACATCAAACGTGAGCAAGGTAAAACGGAGGAAGCGATCCGCCTCTACTGTAAAGCATTGGAGGTGTTTCCAGAGTTCGCTGCTGCTCACTCAAATCTTGCGAGTGTGCTACAACAGCAAGGAAAACTACAAGAAGCTCTCATGCATTATAAAGAAGCAATAAGGTGTGTTATATAGTCTTTAATACATGATTGGAAGTAGCAGTGTTAATAATAATATAATAACAGGCAAATAAAAACACTAAATTAACTGAATATGAAATTTATTTCATTAGCTATTATCTTTAAAATAACGTAACAGAAATAAAATTAATAGTGATTGTTATTGTCATGATGGAATAGACAATAACAGGATTTGCGTCTGGAGAGACATGTATAGGTGTAATTTTTGCCCTACCTGACGTGGAAATGTACTGAATACTCAGTACGTTCGAAAACAATTGCGAAAAAAATGGCAAGTTGATCTCGGGTGGGACTCAAACCCACAATCTCCAGATCACTAGCCTGGCATCATACCTCTAGACCTGATGGCCAGGGTTGAATTCAAGTGCAAGTAAGCAGCGGGTACTGCAGTGTTGATAGTAATTGTTGCTTACTTAAATCGTGAATTTCAATTCCATTGAAAAAAATCTTTATTGAACCTGGTAACTTACTAATTAATAAGAATAATAATGATCGATCGTAATGGAGTGTAATGTGGCCAGCACCAAATTTCTCTTAGTAAAGTAATGGAGTTTTGTTATTGCTGGGTTTCTGGTAAAATAATTAGATAATCCAACATTGCATAAGTATTGTTACAATATTTTCATAAAGTATAAGCTTAAATAAGTTCAAGCTGTATTTGGTTAACATGTGCAAGGTTGTGGCAATTTGTGGTGTTGAGTAATTATAAAATAATCTTTATATAAACACAGTAAAATTTCCGGAAAGCATAAATATGTTTTATAACTTACATTAAATTTATATAATTGTAAGAGTTTCAGACCTAAAAATTGTAATGTCTCTTACTTCGCAATTAAGTTATTAAAGCTGTCCAGTCACTGCTTCCTACAGTCTTCGGCTGACGCGATTCTATAAAGAACGCAATGCTCGTTTTTAATGCAGGTTCGTTCAGACTGCCACCAGGAACCATCAGACGGCTTCTCGTTGTCTAACGCTCACAGAGAGCAGTTTTATGATCGTCGTACAGACAATAAGTGCCTGGTTTAAGATGGTTTATTATAGTTCAGTATGTTTTATAAGTACAGCATGAACTGTATAATCTTTAGTGTGCGAATAATTATTTAGTATGGTTATTATTTTAATACTTGTACAGGATCTCGCCAACATTTGCTGATGCATACTCAAACATGGGCAACACATTGAAGGAGATGCAAGATATACAAGGGGCATTGCAGTGCTACACCAGAGCCATACAGATCAACCCAGCATTTGCTGATGCACACAGTAACCTTGCCTCAATTCACAAGGCAAGTTTACTAGGGTTTTTTTTTTTTTTTTTTTTTTTTTTTTTCAGATTTCTAGTGCATAGAGACCTATGTATTATGCGTTTTATAAATCCCATTTTATGGGAATATTATTATTATATTCGGTTAGTAAAAATTATAAGGTTTGCTAAGAGTTGATTTTTTTTTTAGGGGTCATGTTGGTGGTGCCCGTTTGTTGCTATTTCTATTTTCGCACAAGCAGCCAAAACATTTGAGAATCAGATTTTTGAACATTTTTAGGGTTTTTTTGTATTTTATAATATAAGGGATATTAAAGAACATTTCATTCAGATTAAAGATGTCTGTAATTGATTGAATTATTAACTTGCTATTGCTATTTTTTTTTCTCAGGACTCGGGCAATATCCCGGAAGCCATTGCCTCATACAGAACAGCTCTAAAATTGAAGCCAGACTTTCCTGATGCATACTGCAATTTGGCACATTGTCTACAGGTAATATATATTCAGAATTGTGTGATGCATAGGGTTAGTATGTTGTAAGTTGGTGAGTATGGTGTGTATACAGGTGGTTAAGGTGTATATACTAATAGTTAAGATGTTGCAACCAGCTTATACTATAAGAAGCTTAATTTTTTAATTCAGTTTCAATTTCAGTATAATATATTTGAAGATGACCTAAAATATACCTTTAAAAATTTAGCTGTTTATATACTTATATTGCAGCCTATCTTTTCACAAATTTACAAAATATTTGCAGATTATCTTTTCACAAATTTAGACTATTTGCAGACTATCTTTTCACAAATTTACAGAATATTTTCAGATTATCTTTTCACAAATTTACAGAATATTTGCTGCAAAATTTAGAGATGTCTGAAAATACTATTTATGTATCTAACAAAAACATATTTGAAATTACCAATTGAATGCTGATAATTAAATATAATTATGCAATTTAAATATTAAAGCTTTTATTAGTGCAGGACAGACAGTATGATATATGATTTCTAGTTGTCCAATCTACTTTGAACTAAATGTTCTTCATTTGCATTATCATCAATAATAGATTGTATGCGACTGGGCAGATTACGAGGCGCGTATGAAGCAGTTAGTGTCCATAGTGGCTGAGCAGTTGGAGAAAAACCGTCTTCCATCTGTGCACCCCCATCACAGTATGCTGTATCCGTTGTCCCACTCCTTCAGGAAAGCCATCGCTAATCGACATGGCAATCTCTGCTTGGAAAAGGTAAGACCGGAAAAGGAATTTCCTCGCCCTGGTATATCCCTTTAGGAAGTGATCAACAGGATGCTGGTAGCTTCTCAATTTCTCAAGGCCAATGAAAATAAAGTTGGCTTTACAATATTGGTAATTAATAAGCTGTCCATCTCTGCCGTTGACTTCCTTTTAAGGTTTAAGGCTTCCGTTTATTTCACTGCAGTTAATTGATAACCTGTCCATTAATTTTTTTTATGCTTCCGTTACTTTGTTCTTTTTTTTTCCAAGTTTGAGGTCAGTATATGAGGATATTTTATAAATAAATTTTTGTGTTAACTTTGTAAATATGAGTGAAAATGTAAATATGAAAACCATAGTGAAGGACTAAAAAAAAGGTGGGTGACCCCCACTGAAAAAAAAACCAAAAAAAATTATGCAATTTTTTTTAGGCTTTCAATTATGCAAATGACTTATAAATTTACATAATTTGTTGTCTTTGTTTTCAGATTACGGTTTTGCAAAAACCTCAATACACCTATCCTAAAGACTTGTCAGCTAGCAACGGCCGGCTAAGGATTGGCTATGTGAGCTCGGATTTTGGAAACCACCCGACATCTCATCTTATGCAGAGTATACCAGGCATGCATAACAGAGACAAAGTAGAGGTATGGTTATGACAAACATATTCTTTAATGGACCTTGCTACTAAACTTCTCCAATTAAATATTTTGCTATGGTCCCACAAAACAAAAGGGCAAACCGGTACGCAAACACCATGTTTTTGTATTGCGCATGTTCCTACTCCTGTCCTGGTTGGTCAGTTAAATTTGATTGACACATTGAAAGGTCCATTCTTCGACTATTAGTTTGCTGCCTCAAATTATAAAAGATTTTCACATGTGTGCAGTACTTTAAAAAAAAAAACAGAACAGAATGCAAATAAGCTTGCTTAAGGATTAAATGTGTCCTCAAAGGTGTCGTCAAACTGATTTGACAATAGAGATTCCAACATTATTAGTAACATCCTTAATAATATAGAATGATTTCTCTTGTAGGTATTTTGCTATGCTCTTAGCGCTGATGATGGTACCAATTTCCGAACAAAAATATCAAGAGAAGCAGAACATTTTGTGGATTTATCAGCAGTAAGTGGTTGTATTTTTAAGATTTGATATAATGCCATTATAAAATATAGTTTAGAAGGTTGCCATAAATGAAGGTGATGATATTGATGAATGGGGAAGATGTTGAAGCAGATGTGATGATGCAGATGAAAGATGTAAACCGTTGAGATGATTATGAGAATGAAGAGGAAGGATGTATGAAGTTTTGATGATACAGATGATAAAATGATGATGGGGAGGAGAATGACAATAGTGTTGATGATAATTACACAAGTTGTTACCCAATTTTACTTGTTTCTATTGATACATATTCTCAGAGCAAATTGCTTCTTCGTGCATAAACCTTGCCCATACAGCAACTGTTTTAATAGCGAAATAGTTATTTAAATATAGATGTTCAATAATGTGACTGTATTTGTATCAGGTAACTTGCAATGGTAAGGCAGCAGATAGAATCAATGCTGATGGTGTACACATCCTGTTGAATATGAATGGCTACACAAAAGGTGCTAGGAATGAAATCTTCGCACTGAGGCCAGCACCTATTCAGGTAAGCATCAGTTTTTCTCTAAGCCCCGCTCTACCCCTAGATATTGCTACTATTAAAATAGAATTTTATTTTGTAATTTAGCAAATAGTTTGCCAAAAACATCCAGATGGAGAAGAAAATATAGATAAAATTTTATTGGTGAATATAAACAGTGTAGTAACGGAGTGGTTAAATGCTTTAAATTTATAAAATTGGGAAGTAAATATACATGTCATATTGTTGGAGATTTCAAGGCAGCAGCGGGTGTAATAAAAATAGAGAGCTAACTTTTTTTCTGAAATTTCTTTTTTTTTTCGTGGCGACGGGTGCGCTAATTGGCCAAAAATAATTATCGGCGGCAGTGGGTTCGCTAAACAACGTATAAAAACAATGTCGCCTAGGGTCGCACAAAATGACAGCATGCGTAATTTGTGGGACATGGTACTCTTCTACCCATACAAGATTCCTTGTACCTTTTTTCAGTTTTCTTTATTACTCTGTAATGTACATGCTCACTTGCATTGTTTATGCATATATTTGTCCTCAGTGGCATCAACAGCAAATAAAATTTATTGAGAAGCACGTGATGGAATTCTGAAAATGATTTTACTTAAACCGTCATTCTAACTGCATGTCTCGGAATGTTGAAACAAAATATTAATGATAGTAAGATATTTTAAACTTCAGTTTCAAAAACACACAAGCTAACCATATTTATACGTATTTCTAGGCTATGTGGCTAGGCTACCCAGGCACAAGTGGCGCACCATTCATGGATTACATCATCACCGACCGCAACACCTCTCCTGTTGAGCTGGCCCACCAGTATTCCGAGAAGCTAGCCTACATGCCTAACACGTTCTTCATTGGCGATCACTGGCATATGTTCCCTCACCTGATCGATAAAGGCCTGCTAGATAAGGATGGCAAACAGAGAAATGACAAGAACATCATCAATGCTCTCAATCTGAAACAACTGGTAAGTCCCAAACTATTTTTTGTAAATGAAGGATGCTTGCATGAATTCAGTTGCTGTCGTTGGCTATTTAGGCTTTACAAATTATGATTGACAGATTGATTGATGTCATACATTAAAGCTTTTTCTTTGTAAAGTAATATTTTATTTGAGATTTTGATGGTTTTACTTCTGTTGATATAACCAATTATGCATTTTCATTATGAAACCTGGGCATAGACCAGAGGAACTACGGTATATGATATTATAAGCACCATAAACATTAACAATTCACCATAAAATAAATACTTGTAAATACATTCAAAGTAATGAAAGTAAAACCTGAAGCACTAAAAAGTATTTAAGAAATGTTCAACGTTCACCAGATGAACAACTAACTAAATTTGAACATTTTGTCACCCATCAGGCTCAGGATAATATGAAACCCGAAATGAATGGGATGTCAGACAAACTGCCATTCAAGACCGTCGCATCTTCCATCTCAAACGCTGTCAATGCCATGGTGTCGCAAGGACAGGTTCAGATCTCAACACCTCAAGGCGTCATCATCAACGGACTCGCCGCCAGCCAAGTAAGTAGTCTTGCTTTCTGATGTCGATGACTTTGGGACCTGAAAACTTGAGGTGGTCTTGTGGTTTGGTCTCACTTAGAGGGTTAGCTTTGTATTAAAAGAGTGACAATTGTTGTTTAGTTCTTTGAAAAAGTGATCTCGAATTAGGGGAGTATCAAATTGGAGATCACTGTACTAAAATTAGTATTAAAGCCATGAAAATAATCAAATTATTTTAATGCAAAAAACATGTTTGATATGTTGTACTACTGATTTTTCTGTGACACAAAATGCATATTTGGCAAAAAAATTTCTGAACTGTTGATAAGATACAGATTTTTAGATTTTTGAATTTCCAATTTTAAAATTCTTTTTAAAATATTAAAAAGAATGTATCTCATAACCACTCTTGAGTTTTTCTTCAAATATGCTTTTGTGTTATTGGCCTAGTTCTGACTAAGTGGATAAACCTGGCTCAACTCGCAGTGTTCATCAACCTGCCAGTCTGAACTAGGTGGCTTATCTCAAGCCGGGATGTGTCCCTATAGTAACTAGGCCTGGCGTGCCACCGTTTTTAACTTTTCTGTGCTGGGCTTTAATCATTGCGAGGGGTCTTGCATTGACTTCGAGTAACAAAATGACCAATCAGCATTAGTTGCGTACACTGTGAGCAAGCATACGTTTTGAAACACGTTTCCTGGTTACGGTTCATTATTATTCAAATTTTCGCGCCTGGCTAATCCTGTTAATCTGAACACACGGCAATGTTAAGCCAGGCTCAACTCAAGCCTGGCTTATCTCCAAGTCTGAACGTAGCCTTAGAAAAATAAGTTGTACCACATATCAAAATTGTTTTCCTCTCCAGCTTTAATAGTTCACTAAAATACTCAAAAATACTCATTCATTCTGTATTTGCTTCTTTATGCAGACACTGCCTAAAGCTGCCACCGGAGAAGAGGTTCCACCAAACCCACTTGTCACAACCAGGAATATGTACGGCCTGCCAGACGATGCCATCGTGTATTGTAACTTTAACCAGCTGTACAAGATTGATCCATCTACACTGTCTATGTGGGTTTCGGTAAGAATAATAATTTTATATTCCATCAGATAGTGATTGGTGTGCGTTTACGATATACTATATCCAGTTTAGAGTAGAGGAGTTAATATCTTCATCTGGATATAATTAGACTATAGTAACCAAGTTGATTTGACATAGATGTAAACCAGGTTATTAATAGTTGGTATTGTTATTTGTGATAACACAAACAAGAAAGCGGTTTAAAACATATTTTAACATTGTTAAAACTACTTGCTTCCTTTATTAAAGTCTTCGACAAATACAGATAAATCTGTCACTCTATATTTATTTACAGATTATCCAAAAAGTGCCAAATAGTGTTTTGTGGTTGCTAAGGTTCCCGGCTGTCGGTGAAGCCCACCTAACCGCCACCGCCCAGCAGATGGGCTTGCCCGCAGGCCGCGTCATCTTCTCAAATGTAGCCCCTAAAGAAGAGCATGTAAGGAGGGGTCAGCTGGCGGATGTTTGCTTGGATACCCCACTCTGCAATGGACACACCACAGGAATGGATGTGCTCTGGGCTGGAACACCTATGGTCACTCTTCCAGGTAATTATTGTAGGAGTGGGTCAATGAGATTTTGGTCATCAGCCCTTTAAAATGTTTTTGTGGAGATTTCTAAAACACAACATTTAATTTACTTACTGTAAGTATTTTCCCAATTAGAAAACAACTGATCCTTATATTTTTTGCATGGACCCTAAATTGACTGCGAATTAATGTCTTCGGTATTGCTTTTGGAGATAAATTATTTAATGTTTTAAATGAATATCTGATAGCATGGTAATATCATCCAATACCAGTGTGCATAAACAACCATTATTGTTTGTCCACACTCAAGTAATTGTGTAATGTCTGTGATTTGCCCATACATGACATCATAACATATCATTCCCATTATATGGATAATTAGACAGTTGCCACAGAATACTTGATAATGTGTGCAAAACTTCACAGCAGTTTGTGTAGGTGTACATATTTACTAGTATAATACTTGTAATTAAAACATGTTCGTGTTTTTTTTATTTTTTTATCTACAGGTGAGACCCTAGCATCAAGAGTTGCAGCATCTCAACTGTATGCGCTGGGTTGCCCAGAGCTTGTTGCTCGCAACAGGCAGGAGTACGAAGACATTGCCGTGAGGCTGGGGACCGACCCGGAATACCTCCTGAAAGTTAGGAACAAGGTGTGGCTGCGACGTGTAGAAAGCACGCTATTTAATACAAAAGTGTATGCAACGGACCTAGAGAGACTCTGCTTTGCTATGTTTGAACGATTCTCAAAAGGATTACCCATCGACCACATCAGGCATTTAACGCCGCAAGGATTCAAACCGCATGAGGAGATCGTAAACGGACGCTGATTATTGAAATATCGATATTGCCTGGTTTAAAAAAAGACTGTCGAATATATTAAAGACTTGCCTAATTATGATGCTATCTAAACATATTTTAATTTTAATTATGGTGGTATGGCCATGCTTGAACAATCCTTAGGATAATATAATATAATAATCTTTATATTTAATATTAAGAAATGGTGATAAAATCTCAAAATCTTTTAATCAAGCTCAGCCAGATTTGTTTAAAAAACCTTTTTTGTTCCGTCTGCATTTATTTGTTTATATGTGTAGTGGCTGTAGATTGGTAACAAACTCGAACACACATGCAAAGAATATTTACCAATATTCTGCATTGTAGATAAATGGTTATTTTGATGGTCATGATTAATTTTACCTTAAAGGGTGGCGTATTTTGTGTAGCGTATATTGTAAATTTTTTGAAATGTATAGGTAAATGTTATTGTAATTATCACTTTCATTGCTTTTTTTTGTGCCAATGATGCAGTATAGAAGGTTCTTGTTTGTTGGTTGGGTTGGTTGGTTGCCGAGTTGTGATTTGCATAGGTGGATTGGCCAATAAAAGTCGCCATTGTTCAGGTGTAGAATGTTCAGCTTGGCTTGTTGTATAGGTTAAACAGATGTAAGCAGAATAAATGCCTGTTCTTTATTTGATCTGTTTGTATCCACTGTTAATTTTTCTGATGTAAATTATCCAATTACATATACTGTATTATTTTAGAAACATTCTGACTTTGCTGAACTTTCAACCAGGAAAATAGGAGGATTCAATTGCAAGACGACAGTAATTGCAATTGACAGTAGGACATAGAATGTAATGACATCAGTAAAAGTTACCTGCGCATGCGAGAACGTTGAATTCTCATCACATGGATTCTAGGACGCAATTTGCCCAAATCTACATGTGCGTCGGATGGTCATGCATGATTGATTAAGTTCTAGCGCTGCGTCGTCGCACAACTCGAAAGCTCTGTATTACCTTACATTCACAACCGTCACTTCCTTCAGTTTCCCAAATTATTTCCCCCCCCCCTTCTCCCCAGTCAAGACTCCTAGATATGCTGCATTGCTTCTCCACCCAGGACTACTGGCCTCCCTCCCTGGTTGGGCTACATGCTACTGTGCCAAGTATGCGACTATACAACCAAGTAATTTTAAGCATGTGTAAGTGTAATGAAGTGTAAGCACATTTATGAATATCGAATATGCTGGACATAAATGCCGCACATTAAATTTATTAAGTATGTAATTTATATGCATGCTGTTTTCTAGTACAATAGCTCATTTGGGACATCAATCACTAAGTGGAAAATCTAACCGTTTTCTCATCTTGTGCTTACAATTTTTTTTCCATTGTTGCTACCTATCCAATTAGAATGATTAAAATCTTAATTGTGTCAAGCAATCACTGAGGGAAAATACAGTCTTAACCATCATTAATTGTAAGTACAGGGATGTCATGTGACGTTATAAGAATTACTTTGAGAGAAAAATATGGAAACTACACAGTCTAATTAAAACAACGAATTGCTCAAATTAGAGTACAGTGGACTCTTCCAGAGTGTCAGTCGAACCAAACAATTGACCAATCAGAACAGGGCCTGGAATACGCGCGCGTCTTACAAACTTAAGGACTCCCTCTGGTCTATACGACCTCGGACAAAGATTTTTTTTAAAGATGAAATTTATATATTTTTGCCTTAAGGTGTAGGGGGTTAAATATGTTCTAAAACATTTCAGAATTGGTTAAGATTGCCCGAAATTAGCCTGTATATTCAGGCAGCAGGCCATTATTCCCTGGACCAACCCCAGAGCTTCACTCCAGAACCCCGCAAACAATCTTCTGGGATTCAATTAGCAATTCTCCATCAGAAAAATCCAGCCGGCGCCAGAATTTATAACCTAGCATGAAAGTATTTAATTCTATGTAATTTTGTGGATGAGATGAGTACGAGTGTAGGCTTTACTTCTTTGAATTTGATGTTGCAAAGTTTATAGCAGAACAGCAACAATCTGCATTGTACAGCTTTACGTACACAGGTGGCACTAAGGTGCACGATATGTGCAAGTTTTCACACACGGCGTTAATCAATAGTGACTTGAGGCACGTGAAATTGATTGCAAGTAGTGGAATGCAATAGAAAGTCCATTCCAAACAAAAGGAGAAAACACCTTTGGGACCAACATAGAAGTTTAGCGTCTCATTTTTTATATAATGGGCCCAATAATGGGCGACCGGGTTTTATGTAAAATGACCATATGTTGTTATATGGTAAATAACAGTGATACAATATGAATTGTGGGTGGGTGTGGAGGAGAAAGAGAGACGGAATGCTCCACTTTTGATTATTATTATTACAGTATTAATTTTAACCATTCTGCTAACAGAATATTCGGTGGTCAATGACGTAAATTAATTACATTGACACTTTAGCAAACAAGACTGTAGAACTTATTGTTAATTTTAGGATATTGTTAATATTTATGATATTAGTGTAGATATTAAAAAAGAAAAATCTTACTTTCTTATTCAATAAGGATTTTACGGTATATGAACTGTTTATTAGTTTTTAATTGCAGTGTCACAATTCATCAGATTTAATTTATTTATTTATCTTTTAAATTTAAATACAGACTTGTAATTTAGTTGAAGCAGTGGGCCTACTTAAGTGATTTTTTGTTGTAAGTTTTATTGTTTTGTGTTTGTACAGTAACTGGTTGCCTCAAGAGATTCAGTGCCACTGCTGCTTTAAAAGTCAAAAATCTCGGACAACAGATGTAGATTTATAAATTGAAGTGTCCTAGAGTTGTGATGGAGCATGCTTTTAAGTCAAGTTAATTAAGTTCATCACAATACAGTAGTGTTCGACATACTGTACACATAATTACAATAAGCATCCTATGAATACCAAGAATGGGTAATAAACTTTTAAATTGTTATGTGTATATTTAAATGTGACGTGTTAAGCACAACTGGATAATTATCGCTTGAACACAGAAGCAGTGAATAGTTCATGGCATGCAAAGTGAAGTATTTAAAAATTCAACAGAATGTATTTTTAGTTTCATGCGGGATGCTAACCTAGGTTATTAACACTTTTACAAAAATAGCCCTATCCGTAGAGAGTTCCAGGGGATCATGTAAGATAAAAGTCTTAATTTTATGATGGATCCTGTAACACAAAATACCATTTGATCTATTGTATCGTATAACACAAAATTCTATAGGGTTCTATAAGATTTGTCTTGTGGATCCAACGCAAAACCTAAAAGAGTTTGTTCTATTGGATATTATATTGACAAATCCAATTAGGAAAGGCGCTCTCTATTGAGATTATGATGGAAACAACATACGGTATGCATGACAATTCCAATTTTACATTAGTAGCAGAAAATGCGTAAGAATCCTGGAATTTTTAAAATCGATATAGGACAAAAAAAAGTGAAATGCTATAGAATCCTATAGAGCAAAAGACTAGTCCTATAAGACTCTTATAGAATAGAGCAATCCTATAGGAATTTTTTTAAGGGCAAGGTCCAAAGTGTATGTTCATTATATGCCCAGTAGACCCGATAAATTTGAAAGAGCATGAGTTTGATAGATATAATTTATATTATTATATTGCCCTGGAGTGGAGGCACCTCCCGTGGGCAATTTATTTATTTATGTTATTCAGACATTTTCTTATACTGTCACCTTATGGTTGATTCAACTAAATCGTTTTGGCATATCAAAGGAAAACATTCTCGTTATATATTCTCCTTATAATCCTATAAACTTAAGATTCATGTCCTCGTTAAATTCTTGTCGGTATATCCACCTTTATGCGATACACTATTTTAATGCATATCTAAATTCCGAAATATATTAATAGTAATAAGACAAAATGAATTGTGTGAAATATGATAGTATAAACAATAATTAGAATTGTGATAATATTAACAGCACAACGGTAATATTATTACTAATCACTGTTTACAGATGAACGATTAGATTGCCTGTCAATGAACTTGATAAGATACATTTCTGTAGAATTAATTTTCATATATGAATATTAATGACCTGATAAGGTCTATCGTCCCTTTTAACCTTAAATAATTTTGTCTGTGAATGCGGATCTTTCTTAACGAATGAATCAAAGATACTAGATATTTGATCAATGGGCTTTATATTTGCCTGGTTTCCTTAAAATCGCTATTACAGTACGGTCGTGTTGTATACTGCTAGCAGTACCGGTACCTGACGCAATCGGGAAGGCTTCCCGATTCGACCGACCAATCAGCATCACCGAAAGCTGTCGGCGATAGCGTGTAGCGATTATATGGAAACAAGCTTCTTGATGAAAATTAAGCTTTTTGCAAGATCACACAAAAACTAATGAATGTATCATTTTAAAAGTTAGTGGAATGGTAGATATTATTCGAAGAAATAGATGATTGAACTTTTGGAAAGAAAAGGTATAGGGACGAGGTTAAGGGTCACGGAAATTCGAATTTTTACAAAAAGCATACAAGAAAATACTGTAATGGAATACACGGCCGCCTGCGTATTGCTCGGTATTTAGGCGCAGTGCAGAAACTTATGGCGAGCCGAGTTGTCATTTAATCGTAAATAGAGATATCTTAGTTTTAAATAGAGATATCTTAGTTTTAACTAAGATATCTCTATTAATAAAAATATCTTAGTTTTAAATTGAGATATCTCTATTAAAAACTAAGATATCTCTATTTAAAACTAAGATATCTCTATTTAACACTAAGATTTCAGTATTAATAAAGATATCTCTATTAATAGAGATATCTTAGTTTGAAATAGAGATATCCTAGTTTTAAATAAAGATATCTCTATTAATAGAGATATCTTAGTTTGAAATAGAGATATCCTAGTTTTAAATAGAGATATCTTAGTTTTAAATAGAGATACATAGACAAAAAAACCGCTTATAACTCTAATAGCACGCATCATAATGGCACTTTAGCAGCGTGTGCAAGCGACGCATTCGCTGTAACAATGAAGCGGCTTTATTAAAAACTATTTTAATGATGAAACGTCTCTTTGTTATGTTTTTTTTTTTCAAATTCGCTTCGCGGCCCTCCAAAAATGTTTCGCGGCCCAAATTTGGGACCATAGTTTGCGGAACGTCGTCTTAGATCTTTGGGACTGCAGAAATTAGGGGCTAAAAAAGCATCAATCCACTGATGAAGGCACTCTTTCATTTCACTTGTCACTATTTTGTATTTAGAGAGTAATGACGTAATTAGTTTAGCCTCAGAAATTCGTTCTTTAAAATCAAAAGTGGTCAAAGAACGTAACATAATTGGCAAGTTGACCAATTAGCCGTGGTTAGCAACTGGTTTTTAGGCGCTAATAACAAGCCTTCACACCCCTTCTCCTGTCAGTAAAAGCAGGTTCACCAGGCTTAGAAACTAGGCCAGTACACGAGCAGGCCAGGAGCTGGACTTGGTTGTCAGAGGCTTTTTGAGACGCATGTCATATGGGAGCACTTTATAGGTAATGGGAGCTTATCCCCACAACCACCCCAACTTGACAACCTTGAACCCATAAAATTGGCTTACACATCATAACTTCGCGTTATATGTTCAGTTTTCCTTTACACCCTTCAATGTATTTCTTAATATTAAGTTGTTTTCTT